CTGTAGAGGGATTTGTTGGTTATGACCACGAACTAACAAAAAGCACAAGACCTGCACTAAATATTGTTATTTTGTCCCTTATTTCCTTTGAATAACCAAGGAATCGCTTCCCGCGTTTTCTAACGTCACTAACATTCTTTAGGCAAACAAGCAATTTTTCATGCCTTTTCCTGGAAGACCAGTTATTTGTCCGTGATTTCACTGCTTTTTGCACATTATTTAAAAAACAAGGGTTTTCCCCAGTTTCTTGGGCTATTTTCTTGTCAGAAATCCAGAATTGGCGTTTTTGCCTAAAAAGAGAGAGAGTAACGTATTCCCAAATGGCTCACTGAAAAATGTCTGATAAACATGGCAAACAGCTACCAAAAAAAGAAAGAATATTGAAAACAACTTATATACCTCGTCAAATCTTACATTCTCGAATTTCGGCTATTTGAATTTGTGAGGGTAACCGTTTAATAGCAGCAGTTCGAAAAGTGAGACGTTGGAGGTTTTTCCTTAATTCAAAATGAGGGGAGAAGAAATGACTGTTTGGAAAGATTCATCAATTGCTTAAGCTTATTTATGCGCTAGTTTTCTGTTATTATTATTATTGTTATTATTATTATCACTATTTATTATCACCACTATTATTAATAATTATGCTTTTATTATTAATCTCTATTACTGTTGCCATGGAATTTGTAGTACTTCTTTACTTCTTCTCTACTATCCACTATCTCCTCTTAAAATTTCAATCTTCCAACTTTTCAGGCTCCCAACTTAGCAATCTTCCCACCAAAATTTTTTCGTACTCGTACGCAGAGCCCAAACGTACTGCAGCACTGGCGCTGCGGTGCTGATTGGCACTTGGCCAGAAAAATCATTGGCAAAATTTAGCACCGGAGCTAACTTGGTTACCGAGTTGACATATCGGGACAAACATACATACACAAACATACACAACACACACACCATGGATAGTTATAATACGAGTTTTTGCATTTGCATATATGCAAAGTACGTAATGAAATATCATTCTTAACCTTGACGCCTCCTCCATCACACGTCTTGGCACAAATTGTTAAACCCAAGCTGCGCCCAGTTTTCTCGATTCGATAATCTCGTTCCAGAAGCCGAACTCGGTTCATATTATCTTTCATGATGTAGTACTTTTCCGGATCAAGCTTCAGCTCTTCACAAACCTATGAAAACTTGTGAAATTAAACACGGTTTGGCTTTCAGCTTTATTTTTGTACGTGGGTTTTTTAATGTGTTTATCAGAATGGCAGATCTAAATTTGAGAAAATTTTTATTAACAGGAAGTTATTTAGCAAAAGGACTTGCTATCTGACAGCTTAAAAAAATGTTTTTCCGGGCCTCCATACATTAGTTTGATTGATATTTTTGTTCGTATCAGAAAAATCATTTGTTTTTTCAAGAAAAGGACTTGCGAATGGGGCGGAAGGGTGTGCGGAAGGGAGCGAAAGAGGAATGAACAATTAGGGCCAAATCTGAGGACATATGCTGTTTGGAGCTTTGCGGTTACCACTGTATACATTGTACCAGATTCTGAGGTAAGTAAGCACTTTAAGGAGAAAATTTATACATGGCTGGGATATTTCTTGTCACAATCCTTAATTTCAGGAAGTTTGCCAAGACTGAATCAATTTACAAATTTCACCAGTTTACAAAAATTTTATTTTATATATCTTACGAAATCCCTTCTAGTCGGCAAGATACCCAGTCTTGGTCAGAATTGAGAATTTTTGAGATTTAGACGGTGATGTTCTTAAATGCAACGGGTTAAAGCTTTGTCACCTATTCTTGTCAGAAGACTTGAGCTGATTATCCCTTCTGAAGATGGATAAGTGCAATGACCGTCAAGAGCTGACCAAAAAGGACTTCTTGAAATGGTTAAATCCTTGCCAGGTACTTCTTCAGTAAGGTCCATTGAGCTGGTAATCCCCACAGAAAGCGAAAAAAGGAGAGTCTCCAGCTGGCTAATCTCCAAGGACATCTTGCAGTGGGTTGAAGCCTTTTCAGATACTTTTTTGAAGGTCCCTTTAGCAGAACGAAACAAAAGATTACCGCTACGCTGGCCACCGGTGATCCAGCACTGGTCAAAACAGCTGGAAAAGATATTAGCTACATAGCCATAGAATTGGGGTACGAATTGCTAGCTTTTAGGTGTTTTTGAAAACCTACTTGTTCTACAGGGAAACTAGTGAAAGAAGTACCAAAAAACTTTAACTTTTTCCCAAAAAATGATTGGCTTGGAAAAACTGCGCACAAAGATCATGGAAATAAGGGATGGAGCTTTTACAGACATATGTGGACGAATGAATGTTTACCTTGCATAAAATTTCAGTTAAGCTGTGAATATTTGTTTGCTGAAGATGTATAATCGAACCGGACGGCAGGAACACACCAACAGTGGAACCACTACTGCTACAACTAGGCCGAGCTTCAAGGCGTTCCTGCAACCTGGCTGCGCTCAGAGTCAATTCTTCCGGGTGATTTAATCGTCTGCTACTGCTGCAAAAATGGATCTGCTAAAATGACATTATAACAGTTACGTTCGTTCTAAATCATCTGCCTTTAGACCAAATCATGCGATTGTACAATTGCGTTTTTGCATGCATAAGTGCTTGATCTATATTGCGCTTGATTATGATAATTTATAATAACTAATATCTAAGTGGTGAAAATATGAGCTAATGAATTCTGGCAGTAAACAGTAAAAAATAATAAGTAGAAAAAGGAGCTTTGAAATGGAATGTTTCGGTCCATTAAAACTCATACATTCCAAATCAGTATCACAGCTGGAAATCGTCAGTGCGCTGTTAATCGCTGATCGGGATGGCGTTGGTTCGTCTTAGCTGAACAAAATATAGCACAACATTTTGAGATGCTTGGAACTGCAGAGTTTGTACTTCTCTTCTACTGTGTCGTGACACTGGGAGAAGAGGGATTACAAACTCTGCAGTTCCAAGCATCTCGAAATGTTGTGCTGTATCTCGAGCCTGTCCTAGCTAATTCTTCACACCGGATATTTGGGCACTCCCGATAAATCTTTGTACTTCATCCGGGACCGTAATATCATTAATTTCTTCGCAGTCTAACTAAGATGGCGAAGATAAAGTGACAAGACAATATGGGAAGACGTCGCTTTGTTTCATTTATCCAGACAAAGTGAAATTTCATTTCAAAAAACTCGTATCGAAAAAGACAAAAAATTTTGTTATGCGATCTCGCGAGATGAAGTCAGATTCAGTTGGAAGATACACAGAACAGAAACTACTGAAAATATGCTAGAAACTGAAAATAAGTCGAAAACTCAAAAAATACAGATGCTATCAAAGTTCAGTTCAAAAGTCAAAACTCCATATTAACTCTCTGTGAAAGGCAAAAATTTTTAAAGTAGCCCAAAAGTAGCACGTACCACAGCAATCACCGGCTGGCAGAACTTTCAAAGGCTGTCTCCTTTGAAGGTTGCTTCTAAGCAAACTGACGGCGGGCTTGTCTAGCAAGTGCCATTACCAATTTACCATCAAAACGAATGAACGAATTTTAAGGGGGCGTGCTGCCCAAACAAAATTGGCACTGGTAAATCACAAAGCCATCAAACCGTACAAAATGT